ATGAAAAATAAATAGGTTTTACAGTCGCAGGCTATAAGGCTATCCTGGTTTTAATTTATATCAATTTCGAGCCTGGAGCTGACGGCTGCTGGGACGAAGAGGATGAGCTGAGCCCGTTTTTTAATTGCCTGTTGCTCCTAGTCTAAATATAAGTATAAGCAGATTTAAAATTTTAATCGTCAGCTCATTGAATTCCTATAAAGAATCTTGTTTGTTAACGAACAACTCCAATGAAACTCACAAAATAAATCGTGTGCATGATGTTTTTACAACACTTCTCTTTAACTTCACTTCTCGTTTGTTTGTCTGCTACAAATCTTGTAATCGAAATTTAATACACTTCTACTTACCCTATCGATCTGAAATTTTGCACACTTGTGTAAAGTTAAAGTTGGAGACAATGCATGAATCAAATGTCAAAATAAATGATTTTAAAAATTAAAAAAAAAACAAATTTTCAATATTAAAAAAAAATTAAAAAAATAAATTTGTCAGCTACAAATCTTATAACTGATATTTAACACACTTTTACCTGTCTAATTGATCTGAAATTTTGCACACTTCTGTGAAGTCAGAGGCAATGCATGAATCAATCAACAGAATAAATAATTTTGAAAAAATTTATATATTAAAAAAAATTATATTAAAAAATTGAAAAATTAATTTTTTAATATTCGAAAATTAAATGAGAAATTCATTGTACATCTCTAAGATTGGAGACACTGGATTCTTTGGAAGTGTTGTCTTTAAAAAGAAATTTTTAAACTTATATTATTCATAAGTGCCGATGGAAACAATATAGTTGTCGCGGCACGGATTTCCATGAATAGTGTTTTGTTCCATTGTTTGGTTAGCTCTATTATGACCCGTCGCTCTAACGAGACTTGTTCCGACTTCAAGTTGGTGTTTGCCGCCTAATTTTACAAAGTCTGAAGTTTTAATCGCACACCGTCATGAAACTTTACGCTAGATTAGCAAGCGTGAGGTATGGTCCCACAAACTCGGGCTATTAAGGAAAAATTACACAGTATAACTCATTAAAATAAGACGAGTCCAGTACAGATAAGTCATGCATCTTTTATCTTTTTGTTCATAGTATTTTCTGTGAAATTAAATTTTAAAATAGAATAGATGTCAATTAATGCTCTAAAAGAATGTGTTCTAACTTCGAGTTTTCATTAACTCACATAGGTTCCGAAAATGATTGAGAATTATGTATATGATGTCTCGTTTTTAATTATTTCACCAAATGTTGCGCTTAAAGTGACATGATCATTTAATTTAATTTAATTAAAATAATTTAATTTTTGTAGGTATAGCTAGATACAGAGGCGTTTGTTTTATTTTTAATTTTAAACGAAATATATTTTCTCTTCACAAAAAAAAAAAAACATTTAAAAATATGGTGAAAAAATTTAGTTGTACCATAAAAATAATGAAATTTTCAAAGCAGATTGTCTATATATTAATGGGTTGAACTATCCTGTTGAAATATTTATTAGTAGATATTTGGATATAATATTTTTATCTAATATTAAAGCGACAGTCAAGTGATTTATTCATTGAATAATGGAGAATTGATTTTATTACAAATAACGATATTTCAATCGGGGAAAAATTATTACATCTCCATCACCATTTTACAACACTCGTCAACAATATTCCACACATAACAACTCAAAAGTGCAGTTAGTTTGAAATAATTCCCTACGACTCCAATTTCAATTTGATGCAAGCTTCACTATCCAAATCCTGTCTCTTATACACATCTAGATTTGTATAAGAGACAGTACATGCCCTTAACAAAACAATAACGAATTTATATNGAACCTGTCTCTTATACACATCTAGATGTGTATAAGAGACATGACAGAGACTGAGTGTATTTGTCTAAAACGACCTTCAAAAGGCTCCACGGGTAGAAACCAGCGTCTGACAGAGACTGAGTGAGTGAATTTATTTAAAGACGACCAGCGACTGGCAGAGACTGAGTGAGTATATTTATTTAAAGACGACCAGCGACTGGCAGAGACTGAGTGAGTATATTTATTTAAAGACGACCAGCGACTAGCAGAGACTGAGTGAGTATATTTATTTAAAGACGACCAGCGACTAGCAGAGACTGAGTAAGTATATTTATTTAAAGACGACCAGCGACTGGCAGAGACTGAGTTGTTTGTTTAAAGACGATCTACAAGCAGGCCTCCAGTATGGAGACCAGCGGGTTGTAGAGATTGACAGAGACTGAGAGTTGCGGTGAGAGCGACGGTAGACGAAAGCCTCGCAGAACTTTGGGCGAGCGATCTATTGATCCACTTTACGAACGCTAGCCTCTTCAGCTGGCTGACGTTCTGCACGCAAACCACCTGTACAGTTTCTTTTCAGTTTAATATCCTCTACTAAAATAATACACGAAACCAAGAGAACAGAACAAAAATGTATGTTTAATGAACAGAACAAAAATGTTATATTATGTTTCATTAGATCTTCTGAGATGAATTATAATTGATCATAGTTATTCGCACATTAAAATTTTGTGCTGCTTCTACTACCTCTCAGCTGGCTAATACAAGGTTATTTCAAAGCTTCTGCGGTTCTTCAATGAATCAATAATATTATTATCGTTAACTAATTCTAGATTTTTATTTACTACAAAAAGTTCAAATGCTGTAATTTTTTGAGTCCTGTAATCCACTTGAGCGTTTATGCGGTTTAAATAAACACGATAAATTCATTTATTCACATGACATCAGAACACTGATTTTGGGGAAAATCAGTATTCTGCTGAAAATTGTTTGCTTGGCATAATTTATCTTTTAATGTTACTGTTAATTACAGCGACCAAAATTGAATTTGCATCACTATTATCTCAATTACATTTATGGACATTAACTCTAAACTCTAAAACTCACAGTTCTGTAAATAAAAACTCATAGTACATCAATCATGTCGCTTGGACGTTAGGTACGAAGGTATGAAGTCGCATGTTTGGTCAATTAAGAACATAACAAAAATGTTATATTATGTATCGTTAGATCTTTATGGTATGTGCCGCATAGTGTTTCGCAAAATGTTCTGCATATGAGTTCCGCATACTGTTCTCCTTAAATTGTTCCGTATCGAATATTTCGCAAAGTGTTCCGCATAGAGTTTTCCATGTTCTCCTGCAGCGTCTTTGACAATGACGGTGATTCATGTAAGAAAAAATCATTGTTTGACCAAGTTTGAGAAAAATCTTTTCTCAGTGTTTTTTCCATGTATGATGCGTGTCAAAACTTTGGACCAACTTCTTTGTAAAATGGACAGAGTTTTAAACAAAAAAATCTTGTTTTGAAACGGTACGGTCTTCAATCTCGGTTGGCGTATAACGAAAAACGTTGGCCATCAACAAAATTTTCAAAGACGGGAAATGCATATGAAGATGAACGTTGGTGATAATAGTCTTTTTGTAAATTCCTTGATTGATCTTTCGATTCAAAAATGGTCAATTTAAAATTGTCGTATTAAAAAGCAGCCTGTATCAAGCTGGCTCTTCTTTTGCATTTCCAACTTAGTTTAGTGAAAAACAGTAATTAAATACTTTCATTACATACCTAACATACTTTCTTTACAACTTATGAGCATACTTTTTACTAATGATCTTATCGTCCATATTATTGCCATAATATTTTGGCAGCGAGCCTAATTTTTGAGTGTTGTTGACGAGTGTTCTAAACCCACATGTCAAAATAGAAGTAATTGACATTTTCAAATTTTCATGCATATCATCAGTGTTGCATGAAGAGCACACTGGTATTTGTTTAATTCTCCGTATCTAATATTCCTTTGCTTCACCAAATTTTTTTTCTCAATCATTTCGAATGAACTTGATCAGTGCATACGGGCCGTGCATCGTGCTATTAGATTAAATGTGTTTGAAGATAACTGAGTTCCGTTATATCGTCCAAAATCAGCCCGAAACAACTCATTAATGCTCATTCGGACTCATTTAGCTCGCGGGTGGAGCTTCTAATTTCCTAATGAGAGAACAAGGCAAGGTGGAGACTCCTGCTGACCGTAGTACTCGTAGATCCATCAGCAACGCGACGACTGGAAAAACGGAATAACATCAGGGATCAATAGGCTGCTTCTGGCTCCTATTCAATTTAACATTCTGGCCTATTCTGGTCATTAAAATTGAACATTATTTTCGACGATTAGACGGCATTCATGGACATTAAAATTTTCGCCATTTTGTAAACCATGTAGGCGCATAAAATTCTTAGCCAGACCTTACAAGTCTTAGCCAGATCTTAAAGGTCTTAGCCAGACCTCTGCATATTTATCAAGGCACCAATTGAAAGTGTGTGAGAAGTAAAATTACATATCAAAATTTTGAAAGATGGCAGCAAAACTCGACCGAGAGTTGAACCTCCAGAAATGACAATTAGGGTTCTCCGACGATTGCCTGAAAAACAAACTCAGCAGACGCCAATCCTATGGATTTTCATATTTGAGGCGCAGCTCAACGGCAAAATGAACGCACCCCACGCAAGAGCAAAGCTTATTTGATCTGCCGGATCACGGTCGGTTTTATCTATTTCTCCAGACAGGTCTGAATGTAGGTTGCCCGGTTCTTGAAGACTTTTCGAGGTCGTCAGTTGCGCCTGGAGAGAAATCATGTTCGAAAAGCAACAGAGGAGTTAATAATTACTTCAAGCGCTTTTATAAGCTAATCATTTCACTGAATTTTTTTCTTCAAGTGATTGACTAAAACGAAACCAATTCTGCACATACAGTACATACTCAGGGCGTGAGGAGTATTATTTTCATTTAAATTTTATTCTCCACACAGATTTTTTAACTTTTTGCCAGAACAAAATTCTCGAAAATAATTCTGCATAATTAATAATTCTTAATATAATTTCTAATTCTTAATAATAATTCTTAAATAAGAAAATTCTTACAAAATTCCCGAAAATAATTCTTCTGAAGGTAATTCAAATTCTGATTTTTTTCAGCGTTCAGCACGGCCAGCATTCTGGCTCTCCGGATGCCGAACCTGGCGGATGAAATAACAGACGCTGAGAGTGGCGTGGCGTCCCGTTCCTCCACCCCAGAAAACCTGAGCATCTTGTCCAGCAACTCCAGGCCAATCTTGGTCCTGAAGTGCCACTCTTACATACGCGGTGAGTTTCATCGAAGCTTTGATTCATTTGTTGCTCATCTCTGGTCGTTATCAAGCTATACTTATTGACGTATCAAACTTTGCGTGTTCTGGTCTCCGAGACAAATTTCAAGTGCTGGATCAAACTCAACTTGCTCCTGTCTTCAAAAAAAAATTCCTAGCGCAAAAACAAACTCCACTTATTCATGTATTTGAGACAAATTTAGTGTGCACGATAGGCCGAAGACAAATTCAATTGCACGACGGGCAGAATCTGCGTAATATAACCAACAAAAGAGCTGTCTCATGTCAGACGCTGCTATTTTAGCGAGCCATGACCATTTCTCATTCATTAAATTGCGTCGATGTATGAGCACGCGCACGTTTGTTAAAACATACAATGGATCGAGATGAGAATTGACTTTGCTAATTTTTTGAGCTTACGTGGTTATTAGATAGTATTGTAATCAATTATATAACAAAAATTCTGAAAATATTTTGCTGTATTCAAAAACCACAGGCTGCTTAAGGGCATGGAAACATGATTAAGAGGTCCAGAAGGAGAAAAATGCTTGCTAAGTATGTGGCATTCAAAAATGCTTGCAGCTTCAAAAGATAAATTTCAAATCCTCATCATAACATACGTAACTAATATGTAGGCTGTTATTTGGCATAAATAGTAACAGAAGAATGTCATAATTGAAGTTAATAATTAAACATTAATAATATTTAGCGTTACATATACTAGTAATTGATATAATATATAGCGTTACTACCTAGTAATTGATTACTCTGCTTTTTGAGAAGGATCCAGCAACAAAATGCAAGAATAATACTATTAATAGTGATGAACAATGATAATAGTAATAATAATAAATTATTACACATCTCCAGAGTTCCTCTAGCACTAACCATGAGTCCATTTGAATCTTTGTAGCTCCTACCGTATTGGATCTCAGAGCCCTCCTGCTAAAATAATAAATATAGTGAAGTTCCGATGCTGATACGAAATTCGAATCAATGCAGAGCTATCCACCTGAGCTGCCCTGTTGTTGCTCAGACACGAAACGTATTGATTATACTTTTAAAAGTGCGTGGGTGGTTTATGTATATCCAAAGATATGTAGGTCAAAGATAACGGTTGAACTAACGTGATAATATTGCATAAATTGTTGAGGTAATAGGAATTGTCAACTCATCTAAAAAAGTCACCATGTCAAGAGAGGAAACGAAAGCACTTGATCCGTGAAAGTATAAATGCAAAATGAATCAAGAACGAGGTGAAGCTTAAAAAAAAAGTTTCAGACCACCGAAAAAATAATCATAATCCAAGCTAGAGCATCAGAAGTTAAAATAAGGATCGTTATGAAGCACTTCTTTATGTTCAAATAAACTAATTATAAGAAAGATGATACTTACATTTAGAAATTAGTTCTTACTCCAGAATAATTGCTCATTAAATTCTGCAATAAACCCAAAACAAACTTTCGCACGGCTAGATATCTTTCTAATAAGAGCTGTCCTGCCAACAAAATTATTACTGGCAACGTATTATTAGTATTAAAACGGAAAACAGTAGTAATTTTGTCTATCCTCGTTATATTTTAGAAATTTATGGCCAAGCTTAGACACACGTAATTTGTTCATGAATTAATTTGTGGAATTAATTAGAGCTGGAATGCACCGTTTCGTTTCGAGCCTTCTAAGCATCCTCTTATTTCGAGCTAACATATTGAATCAAACGTAATAACCTTGAAATTAAACATTTGCAATATAGAATAGCTGCCTACAATACATTTGCAATTAACATTAGCAGACTACAATAGTCGGCAGCATATTAAGTCAAGGTGAAAAAAATTATGATTGTTTATGCATGTGAAAGAATAATTCTTGGCATAAGTTTGTCATCAATCTGAGGAGATCAATTCACGGTCGTCAGTGCATACACGATTTATATCACTACCTTCTTTTTTATACCACTACCTTCATTTTAGCCATGCCATCAACCTAAGTTTGTTAAACCATCTCTCTCATCAAAAAGCGGTACAATACATATCGAGTATCCCTACATGACCTCACGTGGGTTTCCTAGGATTAGAGAGAGATAAAAGAAACGCATTTATTTCTTGCACAATGCATAAACAGAGTTTCAAGTCGCTTCTAAAACCATAATTGTTTTTATGCCACCAACGTCACTTTCCGACATGCCAGAAACTTCACTTTTTGTATCACTCAAGAAAACGTGACACAAAACGTTGCTCAACTCCCAACATCCATTTTGCATCATTTTACACTCAACATACAAGGCGATCTGTTTTCTAACTATATTTTAAATGTAGTCATTCACAGAAATAAATACCAAATGCTCAAACAAATGCGTTTAATTTTCAGGACTTGTATCATTAATAAGTCAAGACTTCAAGGATATGAAATATGAGTTAAATGGTTAATTATTTAAAATTTTGTGTTTCTCTTTCAGACGAATCGGGTTCGCCCGACTCTGAGCTACGGCTGCCCTCGCACGATGTCGACTCTGGCCACTCGACGCAACACTCGCCAGATGGACTCAAGTCAATGTCGCCTCTCGCCACCACCGTCAACGGTAATTCAAAATTCTATGAGAATGATAACTGCATACAGGTAATAATAGCACCCCTTTAGAGATTCAGAGCTCAATTTCTTAAACTTAAATTTCCAAGTATATTCGCCTGCATCTATTTACTTAATTTAAAAATTTACCTCTAACAAATCTTCTCTGTTTCAGAGTCTCTGTCCCCGCAGTCACCGGGGGGATCTTCAGGAGTCGATGGCGTGTGCAGCGGCGGTGGTTCGATGTTCCCGCAGCTCGAGTTGCTGGAATCCACACACCGCGGCCTCTACCGCTTCCAGCCTCGCCACTCCGACGAGATCGAAGTGGACATCGGCGACCCCATCTACGTGCAGAAGGAAGCCGACGACCTCTGGTGTGAAGGTGCGTACAATTATGAATTCATGGTGTGAATTGCGTGCATTGCATAATTATGGTGTTAGGGGCGTGCATGGATGAATTATGGTATGAATATGCGTGCTGTGATTAATTATAGAATGAAAGTGCGTGCAGTGATGAATTCTGGTGTGAATTGCGTGCAGTGCTTAATTATGGTGTTAGGGGCGTGCAAGGATGAATTATGGTATGAATATGCGTGCAATGGTGAATTATAGTGCGAAGGTGCACGCACTAATAAAATTTATTGTGAAGATGTGTGCAATCTTGAACTTCTGTGCAAATACTCTAACACTACTGAACTTTGGTGTGAAATGCGTGTATTGCTGGAGTTTGTTTGGAGTGCGTGCACTGACGAATTGGTGTGAAGTACGTCTACTGCTCGTATTTGTTTTTATATCATACACGTCATATGGAATATTATTGAATTGTTATTTCAGTAGCAATGTGGCCGTCGTTTCAATATATTTCGTTTCACAGGAGTAAACCTGCGCACGGGACGGCAAGGAATATTTCCATCCGCGCACGTCACGGACGTCGATTATTCAGAATTTGACCCGTCCGCAGCGCGGGTGAAGAAAGAACGCTACCTCTTGTCGTACCTTGGATCCATTGAGACCCTCTGCCATAAAGGCAACCAGGTAAGCGAATCTTATTATAATACCTGGGTTCATTACGTCTTTCTGTTGCAATGGTAATTACAATATTTTTCTATGCACTGTCTCCTAATACCGAACTTTTTGGTTCAGCAAGACCGGTCATAATGGCAAACATGAAATCGCTTTACCTTAGATCAGTTTTTCGATCGACCTCTTACCATTTAAAACTTTAATTTCCCATGTAGAATTTCTACATTGTTTGTACAATGCACTGGCGGTACAATGAACGGGCAGTAAAATTCAGTACTATTTCATCATGTGGTTTAAATAAAATAATGCTCAGGTTTTATGTCAACCTGATACTTTGAACCTTCTTAGAGAAATTTCCTCAATTCATCGTGGGCACGATTCCTGTCATAATCAGATGTCTATTTAGAATATGACGAAATCCGAATCTCTGTATAGTAAAGGTATCAGCTATCTTCCTGAATTTCTTTATATGCTTGATAATTCTCAGCAAGTTTTCGCGTAGCCGAGTAAGCTACTCTTTCCGTTGAATTGTGTAATTCTTTCCGTTGTTTCTCTACATCAGCTATAACAAATCTATAGGTAACAAATCACGCACTGCCATAAAGTACTTCATTAAAGTAGCAGCAATCCATAACTAGTTTCTAGTGAGCTCAGGCCCGGAATACAGATGCTACCGTAATGTCGGGATACCCGCTATTTTGTCCCGCATGACCCGCAAAGTGGTTATAATATTTGTCTATTTCATGTTTACTTTGCCAAGGGATAATATTCAAGGGTATTTTACATACTAGTAACTATCATGAAAATGAATTTAACTTATAGTATATTATTTTCTTACAGGTTTTGTGTCAGGCCGTGCGTAAGATCGCACGTAACGAGACCGGCGGTGGCCTCACGCAGCCCTGTATACTCGAGGTGTCTGACCAGGGCATTAGGATGCTCGATAAAAGTCGAGGACTGGTGAGTGGTTCTACACGAGCGTTTACACGCATTTTACACGAGCGTTGATTTTGCACTTAAATGCGAAGGTTTTGTCAAGTCGTCATTCATTTTCGAGACGGAAAGACCCTCCACAATCATGAATACTTCTCCAAAGAAAGAAGCGTTGATCGTCTGCAAGGAACAGTTATCATAAGAGTATTTACCACAGTTATACTATATTAGTAGAATCGTAAATTCTAAAACCAAAGTTATTGCAAGACTACTCCGTTATTGTTGATACCAACTGAATGCCCAACAACAATTTGAGCTCTAAGTTAATTAAAGATATCAATAATAAATAACGTTTGCATTGAACAGTCACTCCGAGCTTATTCGCCCCAATAAATGCCTATACTTTGGACGACACAAAACTTTTATTTCATTATTATCTCTCAATTAACATAACCTAGAGAGGATTTAAGTGGAGGGCTCTAGTCACAAATATTCTACCAAACAAATAAATAAAAAGAAATTCCATATTTTATTTCAATGTCGTCGAATCGAATGTCATCCCTAAACTAATAACGTTTCGACGCATATCAACACACAGTGTTCTCAACCATTAATAAAAACTGTCACCAGTATATAACGTCTCAATTCATACTAAAACACCGTGTACTCAACCATCAATTAATAACTTCTGTTATACATATTCACACACCGTGTACTCAACCACCAATTAATAACTTCTATTATACATATTCACACACCGTGTACTCAACCATCAATTAATAACTTCTGTTATACATATTCACACACCGTGTACTCAACCATCAATTAATAACTTCTGTTATACATATTCACACACCGTGTACTCAACCATCAATTAATAACTTCTGCTATACATATTCACACACCGTGTTCTCACACAGGATCGCGCGGGACCATGCCACGACTATTTCTACCACCTGAAGCACGTATCCTTCTGTGGGTTCCACCCCAAAGATCACCGCTACTTCGGCTTCATCACCAAGCATCCCGCCATCCAACGGTTTGCTTGTCACGTCTTCAGCAGCACGGAGAGCACCAGGCCTGTCGCTGAGGCCGTCGGGTGGGTAAACTGCGACTATAAAAACGATATTCGATATAAAATGACTCAACTATCGTTGATGTCCAGCGTATTATTTGATATGATTTTAAATTTGATCGGCTTTTATTATGTGAATTAATTATTTTCTACCTTCCATTGTGATTGATATGAATGGAATGTTTTTCTTTTTGAGATATTCTGCTTAATAAACAATCTTATGTATATCAAAATGATTCAGAAATTGTTTCGCTTCAGACAGGTTTATCAACTTGATCATTGGATTTTTCCGAGAATATTTGATCGGATTCCTAGTCCATTGATTACGCATATGTTTTTTACACGATCTTATCTAGTTTTTTTTTTAAATTACTTATCGTACTCAATTAAATTGACATAGTCTCATTGCCATTCATTGTAGGCAACGTTCGGGGTTTCACAAAAACTGAGATTTAAATCTATTTTAAAAAGCAAAATAACGATTATCACTTTAATCTAAACATGGATCAATGGTCACAAAAATTTTACATTACTTCTTTCTCTTCTCTATCATTATCATTCATCGTGCAGGCGAGCATTCCAGCGCTTTTACCAGAAGTATATCGAGACGGCATACCCAATAGAAGATATCTACCTCGAATGAGACGAGATATGCTGATGAGCTCGTCCTGAAACAGCGGTCTTGTCACTTCAAATGCCCTGCGCATTATTAAATAGTAGTTTGACTGCACATTCAACCACTTATTAAAAAATTCGCACGTTTAATCTCGACGTCCTAATGAGCAGAAAATTTCTCCTTTTGATGACGCGACAATCCAGTAAAAAAAATATGTCAACTCATCATTCTGAAGCCCGAAAATTGGAAAAACTTGGAAAAAGGAAGAGGAAATCTGACATTGAAAAGTAACTTCTACCATCTAAAATCTGGTGCAAAAGTTTGAAGTTGTATACATATAAATTTGTCTATGCTGCCAAATCGATCGTAGTTTGTCACCCTTAAAGGGGAGCATGTCGGTCAAAATTTTGGATTTTGACTATTCCGGTTTTTAGTCTCATCTTAAAGCTGAAATTCTGAGCTTTACAACGGTACCAAAACCGTCTCTGTACGTTGATTTATGCTACTTTCATGACCACGAATTCACTCTCGTACAAAATTGCTGTAGCTTTGGTTATGGTCACAACAATTTTTTAAAACTCGTTCAGTAGTTCTTGACGTTTGATTTTTGCAAAAAAAAATGTAATTTTTAGTGGCATTGCGTGGCTGGACACGATTGGACAGTTAGACCTTTGGAGAAATAACATGAGAGTAACTCCTGTTTTGATCAAAAGTTTATTTGTTCATATAAGATTCAATTTTAATTGCATTATATTAATATTAAAAATAAGAAAATTGGTAATAAAACGGGTTCAGTGCTGTGCACGTTGTCGTATGTATGCTACTGGAAGTGCGTCTTTTTTTCATTTGCATTTCGCCATTTTGTCCCCAGAGCACAATTACATAATCATAACAAAAGTATGAAAACCTCAAAAGCAAGGTTTAAATCCTACTCTGAAACTAAACAAAAAATTCCTTATGCATACAAGAAATACACACAGCAATTTCAAGTGCCTATTCTCCACAATGATCGAAACATAGTAACACGAGTAAAACTTGATGAGATAGAGATAAATAATGGTCATTTACAAAGTCGTCTCATTAGCTCTCATTTCTTGTCTGATATACCTTACTAGAGGCGTTTTGAGTGCCATAGCTTCAAAGAACAATAATTATATTGATGGAATTTCCCCAGTGAAGCTTGAACTTATTGTCAAATTGTCGGATAATTGTATATAGACAGTAGGGTTTGCGTTGGAAGAGATATTATAGGTACTCAATTGCTAAGATCTACCCAGTGATAAAGCCTATATTTGAATGCATCGTTGCTGTATGCATCACGATAAAAATTTCTCGCAAAGAACTTCTAAAGAACTCCTTCGGAGCGTGTTGCAATGATGTTAAAATGCCTGGATGGATAATCATGTCGAGTTGAAGTTCGATTTAATTGAATTTCAAATTCATCATAAGTTGTTTCTTGTACAAATTTGATACTGCATGCAATATTTGCATGCTTCAGCATTCTGTATAATAACGAGATATTAATCCGTATTTCATGACTGCTTCCGTATGGTATTTTAGAGTATAGCAAATAGGGTTATATTCTTACTCAGCCTGCATCTTCTGAGGAGCTTGGAGTAAAATTAACTTCCTCCCTTACCTTTTTAAACTTGGTCTTGAACGAGCAAAACGCGTGTTTAAAATTGAATAATTAGGATTTGAATTGACCCTAGCAACATATTTAGACGGTGGCGATCCTGTTTTTGGAGCCGCCTTGGACTCGGGGAGCTCGTAAATCAGGCTTCGGCTCAGGGTTTGAATGACCGCTTCTGGGCAGCTTGCTTGCTCGGTTTGTCTGGCTTGAGTCGGCCCTTTTTTTTCTTTTTGTTGGGTGTCTGTTCGGTTGTAAAGTTGTTTTTTGCCGGTGATTTCGTTCTGTTGGGTGGGCAGGCCGGGCCTGACTTTGTTTGGGGTGTGTTTACTGTTTGTTGGCGGCTGGGTTGTCGGTGCCTTTTTTTTTGTATGTGATGTTTTGGTTTGCGGATTTGATTTCTGAATGTCTATCTGTAGAGTAGCGTGGAAAGTAGCCTCTTGTCATCGTTTGAAAAGCGGATTTGGAAATGAAATGCTTTTCTGTACAGTAGGGTGAAAGAAATCAAAAGCTCTAATTACGGAGGGCATTTATATAAGCTTTGTTTCTAATTGAGTAAGGCTTCAAAACCATTTATTTATCTTGAGAATTATTGGAATGTGAATTTGAATGTATCCTTATTTAAGCGAATGATATTGTTACATTAACACTAATTAAAACTACTGTAACCAACAGTAAGTTTATTTCTTATTGATTGATCGTAACTGTAATAATATTTCTCCAATTCGACTCATGAAATCAAAATGTACGATACGTGAATATAGAAATACAAGTAAGGAATCATTCAATTGCTCTAATGCAAAAAACGTCGACAGAAATATAACAATCAAGGCCGTGAAAATATATATAAATTCGTATTCATTTGCATCGTGTCTTTCTCAGTAAGCGTAAATGTTGCGTTAACAATTTTTATGGATACGGAGAAGCATGCCTATTTTGAACTTTGAAATGAACTAACGACCCATGATCACGTGAAGCTTCATTGGCTCAGGGCTAATATCTTAATTTATGGGTCAAAAATATATGGGCCATAGGGCCCCAAAAAATGACATTGCCTACTCAAAGCACTGGTTAATTACTTTTCCTGGCCAAACTGTGTCTGGAAGACACTCATTAAAGGAAAAAGTGCATTCATTTCTTTCTTCTGGACAAAATTTCATTCATTTCTTTGAGTGTACTCTGAAAAAAAAATGAAGGAGACTGTAACAATATAGCGATGCATTTTTTTGCTTTTGGGTGGGTTATCCTGATGCAGTTTGACCCGGCTTTTATTATTGCGTATCTCAGCTATGTTCACTCTCTAATGTGGGTAAGAAAGTGTGTCGCTATTATCCCAATTTGACCCATTTATTTCTCTGAGTTTAAGATAAAAATGGCTTTAGCTCCGTTTTTTTGTCTTAATAATCTCTGCATCGAATTAAGAGGAGGGATATATTTCCATTCGTTGAAAACAGGTGAGAATAAAGGTCATATTTCCCGTTAAATTTTGGCATGCTCCACCACTATTAGTGATGAATTTCCTCTTTGTACATATTGTGTACACATCTTATGCTTATCTCGTACTCACAGCGTGATTGTAAACTCTAAGAGGAGCGGTATAAGTCGGTCTGCCTTCATTCGTGGCATTAAATAAAATTTAATTGCGTTTCGTATTGTGAACAAAATATAATAAACATATTCGGACAAATGACGAAGCTTGTGAAGTAAAATTATTCGTCCCCTGACAAAATTAAATCTCGACTCGATTCACATGTTGTGATCGTGATAACGTCATAATGACAAGTGATAACGGGAACAACTTTTGACTGCGATGAACAGTTAGCCTTTAACCATTCAGAAATACGAAATTGATTATTAAATAGTTGATGTTCTAACGCAAGTAAATGCCATAAATACCTTGGTCGAAATTGTCAGGTATAGATCGAATTTCCATATAGGCTTTGAGTTCATATATTCGATTGGCTGTTCATGATAGTGCATATGAAAAATGAATGTAGAAATACCCTTATTGGTGCATTAATTATGCATAAATGATTGCATAATAACCAAAAAATGAACTTAAATGAATAAGTGAGGTAGAGGTGCTGGAGCTTTGTATGTGACCATATAATCAGCATAGCGTCTAAGTACCTGTGCCAAATGACTGACTCGATTTTAGTTGTGCCTCGTATATGCCTCGTTGTAACTTAGCATCAATTACCGCTCTTTCAGTGTGTAACTTCTTTAGATACTTTAGAGACTGTACTGATTTCTGAATGATTTGTCAATACATCTTAAGAATTATTAATGTGATGATTTCAGGGTAATGTGAATATTTTTTATGAAGTTTTATTTCAGATGTCACCAAACTCGTTACATTTTTGCAATAAGTAAAAATACTTAATTAGAAATTTTTATTCTAAATTGATGACATTGATTACGATTAGATTAGATGTTAAAGTCCCGTTCCTTTCAATTTAACTCTCGGCATTCGATTGAAAAAATTTACTCGTTCACTATGAAATATTTTAACTATTTTAAGCTCTTTAGTAGAATATACTGTTGAATAGTTGGAATTTAGGCGTTCGTCAAATGATCAAAAAATACATTCATCTATTTTGTCTGTATTGGATGATATCTGTGTGGTTATTATTAATGTTGCTAGGCCCTAATCGAGTCTCATATCAAAGATGAATAATTAAAACTTCATCAATAATAATTAAGCACGCAATGATCGTGTATATGGATGATGGTCGACACGTGAATATAATTTCTAAAAAATGTCATCGAATGAATAAATAATTAAAATTCGGGTTTACTATCATTATCCATCATGTTCTCAATTTCATATATAACTAAATTTTACATTAATTATGTTACACTATAATTAGAATTGCTTCAAAAAAATTTTGTAGTTGTTATAATTTGTTCTGTTATTCGTGATGGTATACAGGGAATTTTAGAAAAATTATTTGTCATATTACAATTTCTGATTAGAGTAATCCCGGGGGTTTTTTTCTTCTTTAATATGTTTGACAAATTTCCTCATGTCGACCGGATTTTGCGGAGAAAGAAGAATGTCATACTGAGATCCCCCAACATATAAAAGAGCGTGAGCTCTAAAAATAATTCCAGTAAAATTCAAATCTGTATATGCATAAATATCATAATCAAATTAGTGTTACTATTTCCAGAACCCATGATATCTCACCTTATACTGTTTAAATAGAACTTGAGCCTATCTCGTGTAAGATGTTGAATTTTAAGTTCTTAAGTAACTTACAACATGATCACTAAGTTCCACATGTGCAACGTTGTGTTATTACGTTTTGAGTTATAATTTTCTCCTTCCAATTGCATTGTGCTGAAGATTTGAAGCGTTACTTGTACTTTACATGTCTCATAAAAGCGATCCGTGCAAATTTATTGTGCAGATCAGAGGAACTTTAGAATTCCTCATGACGTTAAAATATTAGACCCTCGCTTTTGTTCTTATGAGACTCAACCGCGACTGGTAAAGTTTTATCAAGCATTAAACATTGGTGAAGTATGGATCATGTTGAATTTAAGTATGTTTTATCTGATTTTAATTCCATACGAGCAATTTATTGAATCTGATTGTTGATATTTTGGAAGTAAAGAGACAGCCACATTTTCGACACTTTCATGAAGAGTAATATATTGATTGAATTTTATTATATTTAAATCAGAAGGTAATACTTCTTTTCCACTACCGATGTGTTGACAATATACTTCCTTGGATATTCGTTGAGCAATTTAGTGAATTTGATTGTTTATATTCTGGGAGCAAAGATACACCCACGTTTGCGACATTCTCATGTCCACTAATATATTGATTGAATTTTATTATATTTAAATCAGAAGGTAATACTTCTTTTCCACTACCGATGTGTTGACAATATACTTCCTTGGATATTCGTGATTATTCTCCTATTTATTCTGGATCAATATATAATGCTTCCAGAAAACGTAAAAATATTAATCTTAACATGAAATGAAAACCATGGAATAATAAAGATTATTGTGCACATATTGAAATCTCGCAACATATTGTTATTTTTTCATTGGTCAAAGGTTAATTCACATTCAGGCCCGGGTAATAAATTCCATAATAAAATATACGCGACCAAATTCCTACCCTGTCTTTAGACGAAGCTTTATTTGCGAGTAACGTTCCGCAAGCCTCAATCACTGCGGTGAGATAACGGCGCTCATCAGCAATGTCAAACAGGCCCACTCTTGGGGAAGATTATATCCTTCGTTAGGCGAGAAAAAATGTTTGATGGATTTTCTCATAGGATCTTGGCAAAGTGCTTGGGAGTGATGCGTCGCCCTACGTTTAGTATCTGCAGTTTAAGTTGAATTTTGGTTCGTTTAAGCTTGCATTTTTAATTTAGACATTAAGTCATCTTTCAAGGTGGTTGCATTCTGTTGAGTAAACCGTTAATAACCTATATTACCTTTAATATATAACCTATATAACCTAATATAGGTATTAGGTATTAATAACCTATATAACCTAATTTATTAATCTGACAATAAAAAGCTAGTCAACACAAAACCAAATCAATATTGCCAATTAGCATCGTTCAGTCAAAAAAAATGTCAGAGCGGCCATAAAATAAATAATATTTCCCAGCTACTTTGTGAGATTTCCAAACTCAATGTGCCTAGACGGGCCTTGCAATAATCTAGTATATTTGAAATATTCGATGAGTTTAATAAATTTTAGAGCGATAACAATTGCATGAATAATTTTTAACTAAGAATTGAATACATCATGAAAATTGGAGGCGAGTGAGGCGGCACCTGAAAAAGGTTCCTTAATAGGGCAATTCCATCACAGCGTCCATGCGATGCTCCTGTAAAGACGGCAGGACGAATGGATAAAATAGTAGTTTCTGGTGAACACAAGTAGCTGTGGCTAGACCAGCGAATGATGGAAGAAATTGCAGTAGATGGAAATGCTGATGGAAAAAGCATGGGAAAAGAACCAGATGAAATTACTGAGACGAGTTAAAAGGAACAAAGGAATAGTTGCGAATGATTTTTATTACCTGAACCTTCATCTTCAAATTTTCAACTTTATTCATTAGAGACATATCATTTCTTTGCAATCATTGCTGAAGCTAGACTTGAATTATTGGTAAACGATGATGTGGAAACCCTAATAATATCGAGGAAAAGGATTGAAAACATCGTTAGTTCTATGCATATTGATGCTTCATGGCATGGTCAAGGATGGTAGATAAATAGCGCTTTGATCCGGTAAATCGATAATAAATTATAATCGAGAATACGTTTGTCCGCAAGGTCTTGCTGAGATATTCTTTGTTGCTGCTGAAAGCTCGAATCTCCTCATACGTTATGAGGCTGTAAAAGCGACGTCTCGGCATAACGGACATCGATTCTGTTTCAATGATAAATTATTGAGAAGTGAGAAATTCGTCGTCAAATGAGTCCTTCACCGCTGACCACCATGCATGAACTTTTTTTTCTTTCTGATAGACGCGGTGGGGTATTATAGACAAGACCAACCGACAGTGAAGCTGCGAATCAAAAATTCCAACCTACAACACACGTTTCACAGGATCGAAAATATTTTATTACTTTTTTTTGTCAGTACAAAAGAAGAAATATTTCTATACTGTTTAAAAATAGCTATGGAATAAAAGTTTAGAATTTGAGCATCCGGCCAATTTCTAAGTTTTAAATGATCAGCCGAAATGTTTTGCTGTGGAATTTGCGAATCTGTATAGATGTAAATAGCGCAGTCTCTGGTGAATAATTTGGTGTTGGAATCCATTTTCTTCTTTCATTTTACGGTGAAACTGAACTATTTTAGTAAATATGAATTTGAGATTTACTGTACGATGATCGTATTTGCGATCTGAAATGGGCCTAGTATGTGTAATGTTGATTAAGTTATATCTTACTTCGATTACGTCAATATTTTTAATAAATTTCTCCTGTAACTTTTTTTTACCATATTTTATAGCTTTTTCGGGTTACATGGTGTTGTCTTCGGTCTTTCATCATTCTCGGCCCCGGCAATCCAGGTTCTTCGTAGATTCTGATGAAGCCTCATCCACAACCCCTTGCGGCGCAGTCTTTCGTGCTCAAGAACGAAAGACTGTGCCGTCCTTCGCGCGTCTCGCGCGGGTTCCTTTGCGGATGCGGTGGGACCCCAGCGGGTCCCTTCCGCAGTCGGATGGGACCCGCCAAGTTAAGGATAGGACACCAGGTTTTTTTAATGAATGTGTAAACTGTGTAATCCTGCTGCAGCCCAGAAATAGCTGATGGAATCTGGGGTTAGTTAAGGAGTGCCAAGTTATTTTTTTTAAGCAGGGCCGACATGGTATTAGAACCTGAGGTAGGGTTAAGGACTGCAAGGCCTTTTCCTGGTAAGGATGACCATGCTCTTGGACATGGTTGTGTCAACCTCGATAAACTATCTGGGGAAACTAAGGTTAGGTTAGGGACTCCAGGGTGTTATTTATACTGAGATTATGTCCCTGTCACACGCAGTTTGACGCTGTCAATGTTGATGTTGCTGAAAGGAAGCACATGTTTTTAAGGGTAGACATCGTGGGATGTAGGATGCTTTAGTTTATTGGTATTGATATTAAAATGTAGGGGGTGTTAGGCAATTCTGGTTTAATATTTTTTGTCAGTATATGAGACGAAATTTTCAATAATTTTTATAAATAGCTATGGAATAAAAGTTTAGAATTTGAGCATCCGGCCAATTTCTAAGTTTTAAATGATCAGCCGAAATGTTTTGCTGTGGAATTTGCGAACTAAAAAATTCACGTTTCGATATAACTGCTTAATTGTCGCGAAATAAAACCTTGTTGCTGATCGAGTTTGATTTTTCCTGAAATTTAGACCAAAGTTATAAACGTTGGTCGAGCCTCGTAGAAATAGGAGAAAACCCCTGACGATTTATCGCTGCGAGTGTGTTTGGTCAATTATATAGTTTTCAAAAACAAATTTTTCGATAGTCTTTGTGTATCGTTTATTCGATATGATTACTGAAAAATCGGTCCTGCAGAAAGTAGGTACCTCTGTTGAGAAAAAAATATACATATGTGTACGAGTTAAACATCGACTCGTAATTTGATCATATTAAGGGAATACGTAAAATGTTATTACGAAATTGTAAAAATCCTGTATTAAATTCAAAGTTGACAAACAGGAAAAATATTTAGTTGAAGAAAGGCAATTAACTTAGAATAAGATTCGTTAAAGCAACGAAAATGTCATGAAATTTCATAATAATTTTCAGAAAAAACTTGTTCAGAAAACTTGTTAATGCTAGCTTCATATTCAGTTTGAAATTCGGATATTTACGTAGAAATTCGTACAAAGAAAAGTAGAGTGGTAAAATATAGATTACCCTTACACAGTGGGGGCTAATTTGAGTAAATTTGACTATAAATCGTTTACCAGTCATGAGCTATTACCATGAGAAATTAGTCATTGGTTTTAGTATAAATAATTACTTGAATCTGTTATACCGGTTGACTAACTCCCACAGCTAAATAACCTTAATCCCATTTACCTAAGACATCCCAAATACAGCTTATATGATTACAACTTCACTTGATATTATAATAACAAATACACGAGTAAATTCATGCGAAGTTGAGATGCATGACTTAGAAAATCGTTGAACAATTAAAAGGAGGTCCAATATCCTGTATTAAGGATACTATAATAGCATGGAAACTAGTGTCTCGAATTTGATCCTGATTTTCCAATATGTGATAAATAACGGTCAGCTTGCTCCACTTCCATCGTAGAGACCAAAATAATTAATGAGATGATTGCATAAAATTTTGCGCAATTTTCTGCAAAACATCTTTGATGTGAATATACCTTGTTACTGCTCCAATAACTGGAACTATAAAAGTTATCAAATAATGAAGCTTTGGTTTCATTAATAACACTTTCCCATTTGAAATTATTCACTTTGATCAAATACAATCCACGTATCTATAAATCGCTCAAAGAATGAGTTAAGGTCTGTCTCTTATACACATCTAGATGTGTATAAGAGACAGCTGTTTTACATATGTGTACCAAGTTTCAAAACGATCCGTCTGTAAACAAAAAAGTTTTGTTGGAGGGTAGCCGGTCCCCTTAAGTAAAATCTAAAGGCTTTATCTATAAATGTAGCGGTAGCGCTGTAGCGGCAAAACCTCGTATCGCTACTTAAATATGTAGCGGGCGCTACCGCTACCGCTACATTGCCTTAAATGTAGAGCCTCTACCGCTATCGCTACTGAAAATGTAGCGGCCGCTACATGTAGCGCGCTACTGCCCACCTCTGTCTACCGGCTCATCAAAATCCACAACGAGAAGATGGACGACCCCGCCAGGTCTCATGATCTAAGAACAAAAAAGAATGAAAAAACTGTGACAACCTTTGGGAACTTTCCCAGGTTTCGTACATGGGATCATATCTTTTGATTGTTTTAACGCTACGATACTGCAGAGAAATTAAAATACGTTAAGTTTATTCAGTTATATTGAATATTAATGCAGACACCAACTGGAAAGCTGGGAACTATACTGACATCTTCATAATAATAATTGCCAAAATACCAATAACTTTTGAATTTGAATTGATCATCAATTGACTGGCAATAATTGGACTCAACTGATTTATCGTCTTAGCAACTTGATAAGAGTTATTTATAATTCCTCCCTCACACACCCAGACTCGCAGCTCGTTTGGCTGCTGAGTGATTTGTTCATAGTTGGTCTGGACACGACCGTCACCACGCTGCGATGGAGTGTGCTATTTTTCATCAAAAGACCAAAAGTGACACAAAAACTAGTTGAAGAAATCGACTCCGTCATCGGCAGCGAGCGTAAGCCCTGGTAAATACTTCACTTGTTACCTTCAAATATTTGATATATCGATAATTTTCTACTTAATTCAGGTGTACCTGGAATTATTGATTCATCCTGCACGGGTTAATTACACAATCCAGATTGTATTACAACACATTCACGTATTATTCAACCACGATGTGCCTTGAATCTAAAATTAGCATTGGTAGCACCATCATCTTCACAAAGTCACCTCAACGAAATTTTACTCGTTGAACTGCATTATAATTAATTTGTAAATGATATATAAATACAAAAAAAGCCACGATAGTTAAAAACTAGACAATATAAAGGTGAAAGTGGGTCGTATATTGTTAAGATATTCTGTATTTCTCGTATATAGCCTCAACGACCGTGACAACATGCCGTACATGGGAGCCTTTATCAACGAAGTTATGCGGTTCTCGACCATCACTCCTCTCGCAGCTCACGCCACTCCTGAAGACACAACTCTGGGGGAGTACCACATCCCCAAACAGACCCTGGTCATCGTCAACCTCTGGGGCATCCATCACGATCCAAAAGTAAAACTTCAGTGAGCTTTCAAACCCTTGAACAAAACCTGATAATCACCAATCGCTCACCATGCGAACATTCCATAATATGATTTTTTAGCACCTGAATACCAACACCGGCACACTCGTGACGTTTCCAATACCATAACAAAACCCGATGATCGACTATCTCTTGGACGATGAATCATTAAAACCATTATTTGCGAAGGAAATATGACCTAATGGACACACAGCAACTCTACCGCGGACGCTGACGAGAATCTATAAAGATTCCGAGTCATCCAGATGCCTTTTAGGTTAGCCTCATCTTCAAACCTTCCACTCAATGAAACAGAATATTTAATTTTAAGCCGAACCGTCTCAAGGAACCGCCCTTATCTTTTTCCCTACGTACCATTTTATGGCGGCTTGCAGATACAGTATATGTCACTTGCTTGATGAAATGAATTTTATTTCTAATAGCTCTCTTTCAGGCGACAGTCCTTAATGCGTTATAATTAATTGTCCAATTCCTTTAATGAACTACCGCGAATTTTTTACTCTCAGGTGACTGTCGCAAAATTGTCCATATTTTTCAGTCTTCTCCAAGAAAGCTAAGGAGTAAACAATATAATCAGTAGTCACGAAATTTTATAAAAATTCGTTATGAATATAGCTTTTCGTTTGTAGTACAAAGTTGAACGTGAATTAGTGGATATCGGAATCAGACTGGCGTCAGTTATAATTAATGAGCATTGAAATCCCTAGGTTTGAAATTTATCAGGGTTTCTCGGTACTTAAAACATTAGAGTTCTAAAAAATGTTCAAACTTAATGGTATGTTTACTGAAAGGCAACCTACTTTTTGAATGGTAAGATATTTGATGGATCTAACCTCTTGTGTTATTTTATGTCATGCCCATTTTAATGCACGGGCAACAATATTTATGAAGAATGCTACAATTCTGGCATTCTTTTGAAGCATGCTTGTACAGATCGCAGCTACGGCTTTTATTCCAATTAATATTCACTTTCCATCTTAAGATCTCACAAAATGGAATTAACAGGGAAACATCCAAACTTTCTTACCCCAGGTTTGGAGAGATCCTCACGAATTTCGACCAGAACACTTCTTGGGACCGGAAGGCAAGGCGATGTTGAAGCACTTGGTGCCTTTTTCTCTGGGTAAGTCATTTGGCTGTTAAAGATCAAATTGTTCAGAATAATTATTTGAACTTTTCAAGTCAAGCATTCTGAATTTAGTGTTTCTATTCAAGCTTAAGTTGCTACAAGTCAAGAAAAAAAAATGAAATGCCAGCCCTCACAGTAACCTCGATCAATTATTAGCAATTTAGAAATATTTATGTGTAAGATTTATCGACAAATAGAAATTTACAATAAATTTTGGAAAAGTGAGAGTTATGAGAGGAATATTTTTTTCTTCGATGAACATTGCATGTGACGAGTAAAATGAGTAAAAGCGTTTTAAATATCTCGGGAGACTTACCAATATGTTCTGCGTTGTATGCAACGAGCGTTTTGTTCAAAATTGGTGCTCATGTTCCGCAATGTTTGTTTCGAATTTTATTTGTCTTGTGTGATGAACCACACAAGCATAACTTAATGATAAAGAAGAATTTTATTATTATTGAAGTCCCCAACATGTAAAAATGCGTGAACTTTAACAATAAATCCCGTGAAATTCAAATTCTTTTTTCATAATCCAATTCATGCAATTATTATTTATGCTATTATCATTATTTATTATTTATTATATTGTTTAGGTAGAGCTTGAGTCTATCATGTGTACGATGTTGAATTTTAAGTTCATATAGGTAACTTAAAACATATGAGGACTTTTTTAATCATTAATTAAGTCTCATATGAGGAACATTGTGCATTAAGTTTTGAGTTACATTTTTCTACTTCTACCTTGTATGCTGGAGATTTGAAGCGTTACTCGTAATTTATATGTCTTATAGAAACGATCCGTGCAAATTTATCGTGCAGATCAGAGTTAAAGGTGGAATTCTCATCACCTTAAAATATTAGACCCTCTTAATTTTGTGATTATGAGACTCAACCGCGACTGGTAAAGTTTTATCAAGCATTAAACATTGGTGAAGTATGGATCATGTTGAATTTAAGTATGTTGAATTTAAGTATGTTTAATTCCACTCGAGCAATTTAGTGAATTTGATTGTTTATATTCTGGGAGCAAAGATACACCCACGTTTGCGACATTCTCATGTCCACTAATATATTGATTGAATTCATGAATAATTTTAAACTAAGAATTGAATACATCATGAAAATTGGAGGCGAGTGAGGCGGCACCTGCAAAAAGTTCCTTAATAAGGCAATTCCGTCACAGCGTCCAGGCGATGCTGCTGTAAAGACGGAAGGACGAATGGATAAAATAGTAGTTTCTAGTTTCTGGTGAACACAAGTAGCAGTGGCTGGACCAGCAAATGATGGAAGAAATTGCACTGAATTGATGGAAACGGAAATGCTGATGGGAAAAGGAAACAAATGAAATTACTGAGACGAGTTGAAAGGAATACGGGAATCGTTGCAAATGATTTTTATTACTTTAACCGTTATTTTTAAATTTTCATTTCAATCTTATTCATAATAGATATATCATTTCTTTGCAATCTTTGCTTAAAGTAGACTTAGAATTATTGGTAAATCGTGATGTGGGAACCCTAATAATCGAGGGAAATTATTATTATTATCGTTTGTTCTATGCATATTGATGCTTCCTGGCATGGTCACTAATGGAGATAAATAGCGCTATGATCCCGTAAATCAATAATAAATTATAATCGAGAATACGTTTGTCCGTAGCAGAGAAGGTCTTGCTGAGATATTCTTTGTTGTAGCTGAACGCCCGAATCTCATCTTACGTTATGAGGCTGTAAAAGTGACGTAGCGGCATAACGGACATCGTTTCCGTTAAACAATGATAAATTATTGAGACATGAGAAATTCGTCATAAAAGCCTAGCAACGCTGACCACCATGAACTTTTTTTCTCTCTTTCTGATGGACGCGGTGGGGTATTATGGACCATACAGCCCGATAGTGAAGCTGCTAATCATATATTCCAACCTACAACACTTTTCACAGGCTCGAAAATATTTGCTGCTGTACGTAAAATGTGGGGTCCCCCCGGCTTTTATCCGCGGTCTCAGTACGCGTATTGACATTGATGTCTACACAGCTTTTGCTTATATATTAGGAAATCGAGGAAAACGGTGTACTCTTTTAGTTTTTCGGTAATATTTCGGCAACGGCTGCTCCGATTTTGTTCAAACTTTTTCCACTGCCTTGTCAACTAAATTGGTTAACTGTTTATGTTGGTTTCGAGCCTGAAAAAATTTTTTTCATGTTGAAAATTATGTGTAAACTCAAAAATTTGGTCGAGTTTTTGAAAAAATCGCAGTCTTGCGTCCATAACTCCTGGTAAAACCGAAGCATTTTAATGAAACTTCGTATACGCACGCGGCTAGTGCTGGTGAACATTTTGGCGTATGATTTAATTCGGAAAAAGTTTTTTAAGCATATAATTTTTTCATGTGAACTCGATTTGTTCGAAAAAATGACAGTTTTTTGTCCATATCTCAGTTGCACGTTTCATGATCATGTTCAAATTTTACACACGTTTTCACACAAGTGATATCTATATATTGACGTCGGTTTCGTTTTTGGATATTTGATATTTTTAGAAAAAATGGTTGTCAAAGTTGCGTTTTTTACGTTTTTCCCCAAATCGCAATTTCGACATAACTTTTGAATGAGGCATCGTTTCTGTTTCTGATTTTTTGCTCTGGCTTTTTCACATTGGTAGCTACATGACGATGGGTGGCACACGTCACAGCTCCTTCTGAAGCGGCCGCAATTTGTCGCTGAAAATGTCTCGATAATGGAAGCTTGATTCTCCACGTGCAAAATGTCCGCTCCATAATTAATACCCATGCATAAAACAAAAGTGGGAGCAGAAGTCACTTTTGATATGTTTTTTAATCCTAAAATAAAGCAGAATTTTTATATGGAGTAGTGATTACGATCACTTCAATTCCCGACCCATTTATACCAATAATGAAGTCTATTATTCAGCAGACATCATTTAATAAAACATTGTATTATATATAGCTTCAAATCATCAACTTGTTTCGTATTCATGAACTTTCTTCTGAAATTTAAAGCAGTGAATGTTGTACAGGATGTCACAGAAGCACGGGCCATTGATGAGCATCTAGTTGGGGACTCAGAGCATCGTGGTGATCAACTCCCAGGAGTGGTTGTACCAGGCCTTCGTCAAACAGGGCGACCACTTCAACCATCGTCACCACAGCACCGTCATCTACTTCATCACTAACGGACGAGGTCGCGATTTTTAGGCCAAACCATCCATTCATCACATATTTAAACTCGCTTCTGAAGTCTATCATCTAGCAGGCAGTTTGACGAAAAATAATTTAATTGAATTATTATACTATTTACAAATATCAAGGTTACATAAGAAGTAGATTTAAGATGCTGGGCAATAAAAGGTGCCGATTTAATACTTACATTACATTTACGATTTTTCAGTGAAATACAATTTGTTTCAATTCAATTCGATGCCAAAAATTCTGGTAATCCTGAAAAAATGTATTAATACATGGAGTAAGAGGCAGTGTGCGAATAACTTTTTGCAATAATCTGCATGTTCTGTCTTTTAAAATCATTTGAATAATCTTGATATTTATCCGAATCAGGACTTGCGATGTCGGAAGGTCAGAAGTGGAAGGACTCTAGGAGAATCACCGTTCAACTCTTGCGTGATTTTGGACTAGGTAAAACCAGCATCGAGAATTATGTGAACTTGGAGCTGCAGACACTCTTGGACACACTACACGCAGCCGCAGGTGCATAACTATAATAAAGTGAACCTTCCAATACTGATACAGAAATCATTTGAGTTCTGGCAGTGATCGAGGACGCACGTGCGTGTTTGCGGGTCCCAACTTTCTCACTTTTTACTATGCCGGTTTGACTTATCTCTCGAATTTTGTACCGAAACGATTTCAGTGAAAGGTTCAATTTTAGTGCAGTTCAGTCAAAATTGTGTGAATAGTGAGAAACGGCTAGTACAAGTGTTTTATTCCCGACAAATGTCAGTGCATGAAACGAGGGCAAGTTTGGTAACTTGTTGGGAACCCTCGGCGACCACCTGTCACGGAGAACAATATTATTGGTGCCTTGAGTACGCTCAGGCCTCGTCTTCCTATACCCTTCCCACCCTCTTGGCCCCTACATCTCTCCCTCTCCACCCGCCTCACGGTCGATCCCTTGAATCCCCCCACCACACGTCTGTCTTTCCCTCGCCAGCTGCAGCTCAGCTGTTCCTACAGCCGGAATTTTCGAAGGAACTTCACAATACTCAACTCAACTCAGTTTTGTATGTTTCTCCGTCCTTTTCTGTATTTTTCTCCGTCCTTTTCTCCGTTCAAGAGAACTAGTTCGTGCATTTAATAATGGCTGGACAGAAAATAAAAAAGATAGTCGAAAAGCCCTCTACGGCCTCGAGAGAAAAGCTCTCTACGTGTGTTAGTTATTTAGAAAAGCAGCTAGCGCTAAGTTGATGTTGCGCTCCGTTGAGCCTAATACTGTACGGATCTTTAGGCACCTGCCCTTAAATTTAGTCATAAAATCTCAAGCTGCGCTAGATTTTCTTAAAGGGGGAAGTCGTGTCAGGGCACGAGACCCGCTCTTCTTAAAGTTACTTGTTCTACATTCCAAAGCTAAACTCGACGCTATAGGGCTGATTGTAGACTTAGATCTTGCCCACCCACACTCGACAGGTGAGCTTGTTAACCAACGGCTAATTCTGGCTCTATAATTTTGTACTATATTTTTTGTGATGAATTATCCATTTTGAAATAGACCTTGAAATGCCCATGAAAGCAATACCTACATGACCGTTCAATTTTGACAGGTCGGACCTGAACGGCCGAACCTACCGTCCCGCAAGCTCAAATCTCGTTGCTTTTCTTTACTTTAGATTATCAGGGTTACGTTCCATTACTTTACGTAACTCAGCTTTACTTTACTGCACTTAATGTAACTGTTCTTTGCTACCGTAACTTTTCCGTCACTTTGTCGTAGTTTTTCGTTGTGTAGCGCCTGAAGTTGACCCCCCTTTAATTAGTATTCTTTGATCCATTGTTATTAAATGTTTCCATTTACTCCTGAAATTGTTTTGCATCCACAACATACGATAAGCAAACCGTATCCCTTGACAGAGACTATGATACACTCCGTGAAACGGTGAATGCGGTGAATATTTTATGACTGTATTAAGGACATGAACGTGGCTGATTCATGGTCGTTTCTCAAAGACACGGTTATGTCTGCAGTTGATGCTTGTGTACCCAAGATTACGTTTGGATGAGTCAAAAAGTCCCAGTGGATGAACAGTGCAGTTAAGACTCAGCTAAAGACCATGTTCTCTGTTGCGTACAAACGTCCTCAGGTTGCTACACTCAATAGTTTATTATTAGTTGAAAGTTATGTTCCCGGAGAGTGAAAAACAGCGGTGCATGGTTAATACGTTTCGATTGATTTATGGGAAAATTCGAGTTGTACATAAGAAGAAGTCATTAAGAGATAAAAAATTTGAAAAATACAATCTTGTTGCCTGCCAGCAGGATGAGTCAGAGGGGCAACTCTAGGAAAAAGACTATTCAGTGATCAAGTTACCAATTTAAGTTACCTAGTTATCAACTTCAAGTAGAACTAAAAATACATCTGCCAAATGCCACTGAGCAGCGATGCTACAAAGCTCAAATAATTTTGGATGAGCAAATTAATCACATCAAGCCTTCACATCAAGTCTTCACATCAAGTCTTCACATCAAGTCTTCACATCAAGTCTTCATATCAAGTCTACAAATCAAGTCTTCACATCAAGTCTACAAATGAAGTCTTCACATCAAGTCTTCACATCAAGTCTACACATCAAGTCTTCACATCAAGTCATCTCATCAAGTCTTCACATCAAGTCTTCACATCAAGACTTCACATCAAGTCTTCACATCAAGTTTTCACATCAAGTCTTCACATTAAGTCTTAACATCAAGTCTTCATATCAAGTCTTCATATCAAGTCTTCACATCAAGCCTTCACATCAAGTCTTCACATCAAGTCTTCACATCAAGTCTTCACATCAAGTTTTCACATCAAGTCTTCACATCAAGTCTTCACATCAAGTCTTCACATCAAGTCTTCACATCAAGTCTTCACATCAAGTCTTCTAAGTTACCAATTTAAGTTACCTAGTTATCAACTTCAAGTAGAACTAAAAATACATTTGCCAAATGTCACTGAGCAGCGATGCTACAAAGCTCAAAAAAATTTGGATGAGCAGATTATTCACATCAAGTCTTCACATCAAGTCTTCATATATTAGTCACCCGAGCCAATGGTCAGTTGAAGCCCATTATGTCAAATATGTTATAGGAACCTAGCCGTGCATTCCAAATCATCATCTCTTTCAAGAATTGATGTCATTTTTTTGCTTAATTCGCAAATTAACTAAGAATTTAAATGCAAAGAATAGTCCAGAAAAATTTATATCTTTTTAGAAAACCTTTCGGGGACCAGCTCCATCGTCAGTTCGTAGAATCTAGAATCACAAATTTGAAGTCACAAATTAATACAGTGAAAGCGCAGAACAAAATTAAAAACCTAAATTTACAAATAATGGACGGAGCACAAAAAAAACTATCTATCCACAATTTCAAGGGGATAGGAGCTAACAGTTGAATTCAAACTGTTTAAAAGTTTAAAAATATGCAATGATTCTAAAAAACGCAAATCGGAAATCCCAGAGGTGGAAGCTAACACCCTAAAGTCACTGTCAGAAACAAGGACATCACGCTGGTCGGCGTGAGCGCGCACGGCCGAATGAGGGGGGCGCGATAGCAACTGTCCGGTTCTACAACTCCCGCCCTTATGCTCAGCGACCCTGGAATAAAGATTGCGTGACGTCATCCTGACGTAAGCAGATGCACATCGTGCACAACAACATCGATAAACCAGGGACGATCGCATATGAACAGGGAGCATATCTTTATATCTAAAGAAAGAACCGATTGTGAAATTGTTTCGGTTCTTTCTTTAGAAATTGTGAAATTGTGACATTTGATGGGAAGTATCTATTGAGCAAGACTTTTAATTCTCTTGACATAGCTTCGGACGCAGGGCCGAAGTATGGAAAAGAACAATAAATGACTTACCCACTATCGCGCTCGGGAATAACCTCACTGAAACGCTTCGACATGAATTTCTTGATTTAGGTAAACACCAAACTTGCCGGAAATCCATTAAGCGAAAGAATATTGCGTAAAAATTCAAATTCAGCGTGCATAGCATGGTATGTAGAACAAATGCGAGAGCCTCTGTGTAATAATGTTTGAAGCCCATTCAACTTGAATCGCAATTAACAAAAACTAAATAACAGGTACTTAGGCCGGTAAAAGTCGGTTTTCGGTACACTTGTATCATTCTCATGTAGTTCGTGCCGGATAACGACATAAAATAATAAATAATATTATTATGGAGGCTCGATCAGCATTCGAATGCCATTGTCGTGGAGTCACGTACTTTCGCTCTAAGTTCGGCCTCCAGACCTGCAGTTCAAGTCCGAGAGAATGGCAGTTGTTCCATCATTTGCCTCTGCTTCGCGTTAAGATGTTATGCATAAGGTACTAAACGTTGTTCTCTATAGTCGCTGCCACTGCACTTGAACACTTAACGTCATGATATACAAGTTAATGTTTGAACGCTACGATGAAGAAAAGTTTCTGGATTTCATTGCTCCAGCAAATTACTCTTTACTGCAGCAAAGTTGTCATGATGTATATAATATAAATTGATACATTTCTATGTACATTTGTTTGTCGTCGAGACACACACGATCTTTGACGAGCAACAGCCAATAGGCTCTGCAAAATAAAAATGTACGGATAGTTTTTTCGTGTAAAAACCTAAATAATCTCTCAACATAAAATGTAAAATTCATTCAAAGGTTTTGGCTATCGAATGTTGTTAATTACGCACGTATACGCTAACCAATTTCCCAGATTCAATTTCATGCCGCACACAATTCAAAATTATCAATTTTTTTCAGTTACATTAGTATTCGTTCATGACGGACGGATACTTCCAAGTTTCTTAATTTTTTTATATGCGATTTACACATGCGACTCAGCATCGATGCACGTATTTTTCTAGAGACTTATCATTGATTGCCTGTTTTTTCGACGTCATCTGCCGAACACTATATATAACCATCTTCCAATTCTCGAAATTTGACAATAAAAAATGGATATAAGATTTTAATAATATATTAATA